TGGAGGACGCGGCCCGCCAGGCTCGCGCCCTGGGAGCCGCGCTGGAGACGGTGTTGGCCGCTCTGGGCGCAGCAGCCCGCGGGCCCGGAGCGGAGCCCACGGCCACCACCACCCTTTCCACCACCAGCAGCGCTGCGAGCGTCTTCTCAGCCAAGGTGCTGGGGCTCCACGTGTGCGGCCTCTATGGCGAGTGGGTGAGCCGCACCGAGGGCGACCTGAGCCAGCTGGTGCCTGGAGGCGTCGCCTGAGAGTACTCGTTCTTGCAAGGTCACTCTGTCCCACCTCGTTGGCTTCCAGTTCTTTTCTCTCCATCTGTGTCACTGTGTTCTTGCACTGTCCCCGTCTTTCTGCAGTATGTGGTCTCTTTCTCTTTGGATCTTGTCTCCTCAGGGAGCTTCGCGCCTACCAGTTTCTCTCTCTCTTTTTTTCCCTGTTTTCCTCCCGTCTTGAATTTTTTTTTTCAGAAGGTTTCTGTTTCTCGTTCCAAGTCTCTTCCTCTTTGTTTGTTTGTTTTTGAGACAGGGTCTTACTAGGTAGCCGTGGATGACCAGAAGAAGCTCGCTATGTTGACCAGCTGGCATAGAACTCCCAGAGATCCACCTGCCTCTGACTTCCAGTTTCTCCATCTGTCTCCCCATGGTCCATATAACTATGTGTAACTCTTAGTTTCATCTTATGGAGGTGACACTTTCTATCCCTTTAGTTCCTTTGTCCTTTCCTCACCAGAAAAGTGCCTGCTGGTCCTGCGGTGGCAAGACTACCTATCCTCAGGACCATCTGTCTCCCCCGCTCTCTCCTCCCACCAGATCCTTTAGAGCCTTACCCTTCCCCCTTCAATGTCCTTCCTTTTCTTACCTCCCGATCCTGTTCCCAGGAGCCCTAGCCTGGTCTTTGGAGAGGGAAAGTCAAAAACATCTTAAGAGAGTTTTATTTGAGAATAAATTAATTTTTGTAAATAAATGTTTAACAATAAAACCACAGTTTAATGAAACACAGTTGTTGCATATGGGGAGTGAGAGTTGAGGAGAATAGGATCTGTAGTGTATAGGAGGTGGGTTCCACCCACCCACAGAGGCACAGTACAAATGCATCCACATCCACGAAGGGCCCAGATACCACTTGTCTGTCCTGACCACAGAGTAGGTGTCCTCAGCAGGAAGCAGATGAGGAAGAGCCCTGGTGACTGTGGCTGGGCATTGGGCCTCCATCCACTGGGGAATTCAATAAAAGCCGTCAATGGAGGGGTAGAGGGGGGACCAGAACTCTAGCAAAAAGAGGTCTGTGTTCAGAAAGGTCATGTTCTCACCTAGGAGTTGAGGTAGACGGAGACAGGAAGCAAGCCTCAGGACTTCCTCAAATACAGGAAGAGCAAAGTCAAGGCAGGGCAAGCCCAGGGGGGAGACCAGCTGTCCTCTCCCTAGGGTGGGAAGTGAAGCCTCCTCAGAAGGACTCTTCTTTCCAGCCAGTCAGTAGGACTATCAACACTCTGTTTGTTGATCCATCAGATGGATCCATGGAGTCCTGCCCAGATCCGGAAGGGAGTCGCTAATACCCCGCCGAAAGATCCAGGCCATAAGGAGTGGAGGCTTGGCTTCCAGAAAATAGTTCCAAATGCTTGGTTCAGGGGTCCTGACTGCTAAGTGAGATGTGATGTGTTCTTCATCTCAGAAGTAAGACCGGAGTAAGTCCTCTGAGAGAAAAGCCTTGGGACTTCTGACAAAAGTTCGACCTTCTATGCTGGGTACTTGGCCTTGAGTAGAGCCAAGTCCCTCACAGCTCGATCCGTCCAGTGACCATATTCCCGGGTCACTATGTAGCCTCGACATTTCCTCTCAAAGGCCGAGGCCCCGAAAGGGACAAGTCCCAGAGTATCCTCTTCTGGGGGGATGGGCAGCCCCAGGGCTGTCATGATAGCAGCCATGTTGCCCAGTAGGCCTTGGGCCCTGAGTCTTGCCGCTCCTAGCTGGGCCAGCAGAATGGGACTGCCAGGATTTAGATCACTCTGGTCGTCCCCCACAAGCTGGAGGTGCTGGGTCAAGGCCAGGAAGGCTCCCTGAGCTTGGCTCAGCCGCTCTGCATCGTCCATAGCGTGCCAGATCTTGAAGGAGACGGCAGCCGGAGGCAGGCTGCTGAGCTGGAGTTCTGGGGCTGAAAAGCCAGGGTCACTGAAGGGGCTGCCCTGATACTGGAGCTGCATGAGAGACAGACAAGAGAAGGGAAGAGACTGAAGGAGTTCCTGGGAGGACATCTTCCCTCTGAGACTGGCATTTTCCCAGAGAAGCCACCACCCACTGCCCTTTGGGAACTGCAAGGATAAACAAGTGCACTGCCGGCTGGCTCCATGGCGTCCTCTGTGTACGAACAGTGCCTCACTGAACCGCAAGAACCCATAGCTCCACATGGCAGTATTGTACAGTGGTAGAAAAGAATACACATAAAAACTGACATAGTGTCTGACCTACAATAAGAGGGGGGACCATGTATTGATACAGGAATATCAATGAGCAATATGACTGTATGTTCAGTTTGAGCACATTATTAAAATGTAACAGCTGACGTTTCTCTTTCTTTTGTCTTCTTTTGTTTTTCTGTCTGTTTTTGTTTGTTTGTTTGCCTTTTGTTTTTTGTTTTTTTTGAAACAGGGTTTCTCTGTAGCTTTGGAACCTGTCCTGGAACTCACTCTGTAGACCAGGCTGGCCTCGAACTCACAGAGATCCGCCCGCCTCTGCCTCCCAAATGCTGCAATTAAATACTTGCGCCACCACTGCCTGGCTCTTTATTTTTTAAATAGGATTTCATTGTCTATCTGTGGGTAGGCTGGCCTCAAACTCACAAAGTTCCACTTGCCTCTCTTCCCCTGTTGCTGGTCTGGAAGGTATGAGCCAATATGCCCACCTAGAGCCTGAATTTGATAATCACATTGATATAAAGGAAAATGCAGTGGAAGAGTTGTGAACTCCAGGGTCAGGGCCAGGCAGCCTTGTGAGTTAGCAAGGGACAGGCTCAGATGAGGCCAACGGGATCCCTGTCCCTACTGCTGAGAATGGAAACCAGCACGGCCTGGGTCAAGCAAACTAACATCCAAGACTCAGAAAGTGAGCTGCCAGTTTTATGTCTAGACAGTAAGTGTGGGGGTGGGAGCTTCTAGAATGGAGTTCTGCAGACCTGGTCCCAGATGCTGGCCTTGCGCTCATGAGCTCAGGGCCTGAAGGCAAAATACCTGCCTCTCTACAGCTCCATGTTCTCACCTGCAAAACGGATTCTAGCTCCACCTCTCAGAGAAGTTTAAAGAGTCCAGGAACCAACGGGATGGAGCAAGCCCAGGGCATGAGGTGGCTCCAGGACAGCACACGTGAAGTGAACACGGGTTCGATTCCCTGCACCCACATGGCAGCCTACAACCTTCCTTGACTCCAGTTCCAGGAGATCCGATGCCCTCTTTTGGTTTCCTCAGGCTAAGAGCCACCACACCCTCAGGCTCACAGAGAGGGGTCTCCTGGACCTGCTCTGCTTGCCCTCCTCCCCCAGACCCCTGCATGTACCCAGTGTCACTCACGTAGGTCTGCAGCAGCGTGGATGTGTTCTTCTGCATGTAGAGAGCCAGGCTGTAAGCTTGACTGATGGGCTCAGCTGGGGAGATGGGGGCTGCAGGACTGAGGGGTAGTAACAGGCTCAGGAGGCAGAGGGGAGCTGGTACGGAACACAAGAGAGTCAACATTAAGTCCCTGGTCCTCTCATCAGGCATTCATTCCAACAGTGTCTCCGAGGAGGAGAGCCTTTGTGGACTGATGTCTTATCTATTCAAGTCAGAGCAAAGTTACCTGGCTGACAGATTGAACTCACCTTTGAGACAAGGTCTCACTGTATAACCCTGGCTGTTCTAGAGTTCACTGCATAGACCAGGCTGGCCTCAAACTCATAGAAATCCACCTGCCTCTGCTTCCTGAGTATTGGGATTACAGGCCTGTACCACCGTATGCAGTTGTGGGAGTGTTTCTTATCTGAATGCTCGTTAGAAATGTTCCCTTTATAAAAACCCATCCAGGCCAGGCAGTGGTGGCGCATGCCTTTAACCCTAGCACTTGGGAGGCAGAGGCAGGCAGATCTCTGTGAGCTCGAGGCCAGCCTCGTCTACAAGAGCTAGTTCCAGAACAGGCACAGAGAATCCCTGACTTGAAAAAAACAAAACAAAAAAACAAACAAACGAACAAATCCAGCTCTACTAGGCCATCTACAAGTATAATGTGTATCTTTCTTACATTCATTACTTTTAGTAAAATGTTTGAAAAGTTCAGAGAGATGGCTCAACAGTTAAGAGCACTGGATGCTCTTCCAAAAGACCAGCACCCACATGGTGGCCTACAACTTTCCTTAGCTCCGGTTCCAGGAGATCCAATGCCTTCTTTTTGGCTTCCTCAGGCACTAAAAACAATAACATTAAAAACAACAGCAACAACAAACTTTGAAAAAAAAATCAAAAGATGTCCCCAGAATCAAATCGCCTCACTCCTTACTGCCTGTGTAGTGCCTTGGGTTGAGCCCTGTCACCTCCCCTCTCCCCCGGTCTCCAGTCCCATCTGATGGCCGCCTGTGCAGTCTTTTCCACCCAAGCATGCCCCTCTGCTATTCCAGTATTCCCATGGTCCTCCTCATCCAATGTAGACAGAAGTCCCCAGGCGGGCTGCAAAGCCTCTGTTTTCTCAGCATTTTCTCTCTCTATGTTCTGCCCACATTTCCTCCCTCATGACCTCATCCTTGCTGTGCCCCACAGGAACCCCCAAAACATTTCTAAGGCTGTTTCCTTCCTTTTCTTTGGGTCTCAGCTTAGCAAAGCCTGGCCCCCGTATCAAAAGTTGGTCTCAGCAGGTAAAAGAACTTCCAAGCAAGGCTGGAAAGCTGAGTTTGATCCTCAGAACCCACAGTGGAAGGGAGAGAACCAAGTTCTGAAAGTCCTCCTCTGGCCTCTTCATATCTGCACACACATCATGGCTCACACAGCAGTAATAAATACAGTATTAGAAAACAGGGTCCCTCTCCTGATTTGTCATCTTTACAGACCATGTTGCCCACAATTACTTATTTGTTTTGTTTTGAAACAACTTTATTTTATGTGCATTGGTGTGAAGGTGTCAGATCCCTAGGAATTGGAATTACAGACAGTTGTGAGCTGACACGTGGGTGTTGGGAATTGAACCTGGGTCCTCTGGAAGAGCAACCAGCGCTCTTAACTGAGCCATCTCTCCAGCCCGTTTTGTTTTTGTTTGTTTGTTTGTTTAAGACAGAGTTTCTCTGTGTAGCTTTGGAACTAGAACTCTGGTTCCTGTCCTGGAGCTCTCTCTGTAGACCAGGCTGGCCTTGAAACTCACCGAGATCCCCCTACCCCTGCCTCCTGAGTACTGGGATTAAAGACGTGTGCCACCACTGCCTGGTTTTATTCATTCATTCATTCATTCATTTAGTTATTTGTTTATTGACTAGCTTGTTGCTATCTCTCCCTAATGTTGCCCCGGGAAAGAGAATCCTTACCTGGTTCATTGCTGCCTCCCATACATTCAGCGTTTGTTGAGTGAATGTAGCAGCAGTCTTATTTCCAGGTTCTCGCTCTCTCCCTTTCTCTCTCTATTGAGTTCTATAGTCAGCATTTGTTTGTTTAATATCTTGACTATCAAAGAAAGGGTTTCATTGTAACATGCATGCACACACACTTTATTCTTACTCACCCTCTCCTATCCTTCTCCCCCTTTTTAAGATTTCTTCCCCCCAAAAAGTTCCCTTTCTGTTTTCATGTCACATGCATTCCATTGCCCCCTCTTGCCCCCCTCCACCTCTTCAACACTCTTTTCTCCCTCTCATAGTTCCCGTTTTATGTTTATGTCCTGCACATACATAAAAACTTAGGTTCACATGCAATACTTGTCCGAATCTGGCTTATTTTGCCTAACACCATGATCTCGGTTCCCTTCATTTTGCTTGAAAATGTTAT